AAGAAATGCAGCCAAAGTGTTATACAAGCTGTAGTGTCATTAAATAAGAGGGATTTCAGAATTTTCCAGAGACCAAAAAGAGTTTCAAGTTATTCTTCAGACTTTTCCAACTGATTCCTTTGGATGGTTGCATCCCATAACATTGGATGGAAGGTTGGAAAAGGAGAATTGGAAGAATGACAAAGTAACCTGAGAATTTTGCAGATTTCTAACTTCCTGTCATTCTCTGTCTTTCTCTCAACTAGAGACTCTAACGTTAGGACTTGGCAGACTATAATGCTGCAGAGATGTGGGGTTTTTTTGTTTTGTTTTGTTCTTTGCTTTTTCTTTTTTTTGGTCCCAACTTCCTAAGGTCATGTTGTCATCCTAATACTGGTGGAAATATCTTCTACGATCATTAATTACAAGGAGTAATTAATGAGAAAAGAAAATCAGGATCACATGGTCATCTATATATACAAATTGTATGTCTCAATATGGTCAGATATGAAATTCCTAAATCTACTGGCCATAATTACAGCACGGAGATCTTCATCTTTGAAAGAGTGAATAAATCTTTGAGATCAAGTTCACTAACTTCTGGACTGTTGCTGTGTCTAGAGGTCCCTTCCAACCTCAACCCTTCTGTGATTCTGTGTGATTCTGTGGCCAGAAATACTGAAATGATCCTTATACAAATAAGCAAATGAAGTTCATCATCAATGCAGGATGAATGGTGAAGAACGTATTAGAAAACAAATGTAAGGATCAGGAAAGAATTAGGAAATTTATATGTTTCATATTTATATTTATATTGTTCATCCTGACTATGAGAAGCATAGTGGGTACTTCAGTCACTGCTGATACATACTTATAAGGAGACTAAAACTTGAATATTGGAATTACCAGTCTAGCAGATTTAAAAAAAAAAAAAGTCCATACTTTTAGTTAAAAATGGAACGATTTACTGGAATTGGCAATTATTATATAGAGATTTTACATTTTTACAAAAGAGAACTAAGTATTCACCTTAATTCAAAGAGAACTTTTTGCTCTTCAGTGACGCTTTACCACAGGGCAAATTAGTGTCAGTTATGGCACATTTTGGATCATGTAAATCTCAGCCCAGTCCTTGAGCCCAAATTTAGATCTGAATTTTGTGGCTAGTTGCTATCATGCTTCTGGATCAATCCAAAGCCTAGCTCATGAAAATTCATTAATTTTCCAAACAGTCATATATACAGTCAAAATTTGCAGCTGGCTCCATACCTTCTATTGTGTTGAAACAATATCAGCTTTGGCAATCTTCAAACTTGAGGAAACCTGAATTTGAATTTCACAGCTTGGGAGCTTCTGTTTTTTCTTTGCTGTACTCATGGAATTGCAGCCTATACCATTTGTACTGCTGTGTGGATGCCACATGCTTGCTGACTTTGGCAAGGAAAGAGATTTTCTATCTGCTGAAATGAAATGATAGGCTCACCAGGTTATTTCCAGAACATTCAAACTTGGGAAGCCTGTGAGACAGATATCATTCACTGTCAGTTTAATATCATTGCAATATTATTATTTTTCCCCTATATTTACTAGCTTGTGTTTAAACTGAGCATAAATCTTTCACATAATAGTAATTGATTGGAGGGCTATGACTGAAACTTAAGCAAATGTATTTATGACACCACTATGATGGGTAGGTCTGTCACGCAGAAGACCTTTGCTATGTGATCCTGGGTGGATATGAGGGAGCTGAAGCTGGGAGCTGAGCTGCATCTGCCTCTGGAGCAGGTGAATTAGGAAATGAAGGAAGTGGTGGGCGAGCAGCCTGACTGGAGCCAAGCATGTAGGTGGTTCTTCCCTGCTCATGMAATAATTCCTCTAAAATTTGTCATAATTTTAATATTAAGGATAAACCATAGCTTGACTTCACTTCAGAGTTCATCTCAAAAAGCACTTAAGGCTGGGTGACCTGGCTTACAAGTCCTGTCCCCTAGAACCAAATACTTAGCAGGTGATTATTTTAGGTATGCTCCATATGCTCTCCTGGCACTTTGCTMGAGGTGACACAAGACTCGTCACAACCTTTAGACCCAATAATTGAAGACAGRATGACACGATTGTGTGATATCTTCTGTTTTGCTGCTGTCTGCTTTTCATCCAATGGCACTTTGCCAATGTAGCTCACTGATAAACCTCTTGACTTGAGTTGTTGAGTGAAGGTTGACACTTAAATTCTCAGATGTTACACCATGAGGTACTAATGGTCATTAAAAATCTGGCAATTACCTTGGTTGATTTTGAATATATACAAAACATGCTGGCATTCAAAACTTCATGGCAGAATGACTTGGGACTAAGATTCCTTTTTGGCAATCTATCTCTTAAATCATCTTACACTCTTCATTTCATTTTTCATTAAGTGTCCTAATGCTGACAAGCTTCCTACTTTTACATTTAAAAATATAAAATCAAATTGATTTCTTTTAATCTGTTTATTTTCTTTTAGAGTAGTGGAAATATACGTGACATTTTTAATATATTCTTGAAATATTGTGTTCTTTTTCTTGATGTGTATTAGATTATCTCATTTAAAGGAACAATATTGTTTCCCATATGGATTGTAATAAATAGTGGATTCTAGTTGCAGATACAGCAGTACCTTTAGTACTAAAATGCTGCCATGTAGCACATTCAACTTTTTTGTCTTCCCTATTAGATTTAAAAGTGCTTTTAATGAATTCAGCATCTTAAGTATACCTAGGACAGCCATGAGCACTGCATCCTTTTGAAACTGAAATAAAACGYATAATTTCAAATTAACCCAAATTTTAGTCCTATAAACATTTGACTAGGAATAAGTAAAATTAATACAAAACAAAAATAAATATGAGCATCTGTTACACAATTTGGGTAATATGATCTGTAGTGTACTTAATTCCTATTATACAGAGAGGTTTATATGAACCTGCACGGTCCAATTTAAATGGACATGATGCAATTAAAAATCCCTAGAATTTTGCAGCAAATATTCCTCCCGAATATGCAGCATGTTTTATTGCAGTGCTTAGTGCCATGGACTATTGCTTTTTCACTTAAGTATGTTTACCTGGTTCTCCTCCATATTAGTATTTAGCATGTCGCGGAAAAAGTCTTCACTGGCTTTTTTCCCCCAATCTGTCTATCAGGTGTTAGCACGAGAGTTTATAAAATAGAAGGCAGCTCAGCTTATTCCCCTCTTCACTACACCTACTCCATCATCTTTTAATATTTATGTGGGCTGTCTTGYGGAGCAGTAGGTTGCTAGATACCTAGAGAGCTTTTCAAAGGTACAGAGTGAAATCAGGTGTCCAGGTTCTRCTGAGCATGACAGTGTGTTGATTGTGCTTTGTAAACCATTCCCTAGGTGCTGGACTTTGCAGAGACAGTTCAATATGAGTACAAAAGCTAGATATACCTTCCTCAAACATCTTTAAAGGATTAATTTTTTTTTTCTTAATTTTGGACCAGCTGAGTAAGTGGATTGAAATTTCCTGAAGTCGAACTTCGTGAACCTCTGCATTATCTGCCCAGATATTTATACTGAAAGAGATATGGTCTGTATTTATTTGCTATCCTTTAAAAGTTTTATTTATCTTTTGGTAACCTAGAAACATATTCCTAAATACTTTTTCCATACATAATATGTTAAATGTGGACCCCAAAATAGGAATTCCAGTGTAATTTGTGTGTGACAGTTTTTGTCGTTTGATATAAAGCTTTCTGGATCTACACTTAGAACCCAAGACTGATATCATTGTCAGTGATGGAAAATACACATAGCTCTTAAAAACAAATGAAGATCCAAATTGGCACTTTGGTGAAAAGCTGCTTGTTTTCTTTGGAGATCTGATTTTTTTTTTTTTTTTTTTCCCTCAGTGTTGTGAAGTATTCTGCTAACATTTCTGTTCAGGGAATTTGTAATAATCTTGTTGTTTTGCTTGATCTGCTTTCTCATATAGCTGTTGTACTGTCTCTCTAGAGCCTATTCAAATGCTTTTAGCATTACTTGTTCAGGATTTTGCTTGTTATGATGATGGTCCTCCATAATCACAAGGCCTGGCAGGACTGATGTTCAGGAATGGAGAATAGCTTGAATGAGTTTTGAATCAAGGCCTGGCTCTCTGTTTTTCCGGCTTTCAGAATATCTTGGAGGAGAGTTACTTGTTATCTGAGCTCTCATAGTGTATGGTATGATGATGCTAGGTGCTGAATGGTTTGGTACTAGCAGTACCATGACTGCAGTATGCTCTGCTATTTCAGTGACACTGAGTACGTACATCTGGCAATGTGTGTGTGTGTGTGTGTGCTTGGAGAAGGAGAGGGACACATACACATACAGCTATCTTAAGTTTTCAGAGTCTTGCATTCTGCTTTTTAATATTAATACTTGGGACTTCAAACAAACTTTTCTTTAGTTCCACCCTTCTGTAGTCTGTTCCACCCTTTTATTTATTATATCTATAACTCTTCTRCCATCCCTGACACTACTTCACCTCTCCATAATAAGTGTGAATAATTGCACTTCCAACCTCACTGATATTGTGTGTAGCTTTTTGTCATCAAACTTAAATTCTATATTTTTACTTCTGAGGCTCTTCATAATTTTGTATGTTTGTTTCTCTTATCAAAGCAAATGGCATCCTCTGCAGCCTCCCTGCTGTAGGCCTGGACTACACATTTAACATCATCTATTTCTGGAGCATTTCTAGATGGATACTTACCCTCTTTCCCCTTGACAAAAGCCTTTTTTCAAAACTCATCTGAAATATCTATATGAAAATACTGAATCTGGGGCACAAATATAAGGAGTCGGTACTTGTTTGGTTATTTACAGTTATCTGGAAAAAATACAAATCTCAGTCATATTTATGCATTGTATACATTTGTGCATCTATATACATTTTTTGAATGCCATTTGGTGTTCTGTCCTATTTGCTTTAAATAGGATGTAGAAATGGAAGAAGAGGAGGAGGAGGAGGAAAAGACAATAAGGAGATGCTTCTGTATATGTAACTCCAGCCTGGAAAAGAAATYGTTTAGGACATCTTATTCCTTATCTCAAAAGGACAGAGGTCTGTAAAATCGTAAGTGTCATTGAGAAGGGAACGGGAGAGGGAGCAATTGCTCATTGTCCCCTGTAATGCAAGCATTAAGACTTTAAAAGCAAATCGTTGACAGAAGGCTGAAGACTAATCCAAGACAGTAATTTTACACAGAAGTCTTCTTCCCAAGGACACTATATGCTTAAAATTTATTTGGGTTCTCTAAGCAATCAGATAACCTCACAGAAGAAAAGAGAAGGAGTATAGATCACTGAGATACAGGTTTTGGATCTGAAAGTTCCTAATTCCCATATCACTGGTGGCGGGAGAATATATTGGGAAATATTACCTACTACTTCCCTAAACATCTGCTAGTGGCCATCAACAGGGTGCAGGGATATGAGGAACATTAGTCAGACTTGACTTATGCCCAGGAAAATTTAGTCCTCGAAAATTTAGTCCTCTCACTGCTTTCTATGGCAGAATTTTCAAATATTCAGATAGCCTAAACCCAGCGATGTCGATGAGTACTCACCTAGCACGCCTGATTCCTCTGCTCTTGAAAGTAACTGTCATACCAGCTAGTTGTTCAAGCTTTTTCTGTCCTTATTGGAGAGACCTCTGAAGATGTCTTATTGTGTCAAAGGATTGGTTAAGAGGTAAATTTGCTCTTAATGGCAAATTACTTTGGCAACTAGGAGCTCCATGGCAGCCCCTGCAGGGATGTGTTGTCACTGTGCTGACTCTCCCTCCTCTGCTCCCACGTGTATTTCCATTGGCCTCTTTCCTCCTGTGCTGTATTTGTTTCCATCCTTGATGTTTGATTCAACTCCTTAATCCTCATACAAAATGTGTCTTTCTTTTCCCAGTCTCTATTTGGTCTACATCCTCATGCTTCCAGACTTTGCATCCCGTTTCAGCTTTCCTTCATGACTTTTAAGCCAAGGTGCCATGAAGGATAAAAAGTGTCATTGCAAGTTCTCTTCTTATACTTTAATTGCAGGAAATGTTTTGCTCAGCTGCATGTTACCATGTGCTGAGAATAGAAGGACTCTTCAAGGAAATTTGAAGTTCAGTTCCAACTTCCAGTTTGTGCTGGGCTTGCTTAAATAGTATTTTTTTTTTCCTGATAGGTGTCTGGGTGGGCCAAGTTTATGCAGATTTTTACAGGTGTAGCTGCAAGAATATCCTTGATACAGAATAACTTTGCCCAAATGGTAATGGACAAGCTCTGTTTCAAAAGAAAATTAATAAGAAAAGCTTATTATTTTTTTTTCAGTGGGAACAAAGTACTGCATGTTCCTTAGAAACAGGTAAATGTTTTTGGCTGAAGCTTCCAAAAGAAGGCCTATGAAGCAGACCCCCAGCTTCAGGAATCATCAGCCCAGAAGTCACATTTGGCAGAGCCATATACAACTGAGAACCCACAGTATTGCAGGAAGTTCTGAGATTCACTGTCTTTTTGCAGTAACCCAAGTTCTCCTTCAAAGCAGTATAGTACCCAGAACAGTATACTGTGTGGAAGCTTTGTAGAGATTTGTGTGTATTTTGTGTTACTAATCCTAGTAACATAATTTACTTTAAATCATTTGAATTCTTTTGGAGCTTCTGCCTTGAACATATTAACATGAGAGGGAAGTGTCAGCCATTTGTAACTCTGGCAATTTGTCAGTGGGGTGCCTGAAACACTGGGTATCATCGTTRACTGCATGCAGAGATTGTACAAGATGATTAATCAGTGAACCAAAATAGAGTCACTTTTTTCTTGATTTTTTTTTCTTATATTCTGTTATGAATCATGTCTTTAGGTCAATTAAAACCATCTGTGCATGTCATTTCAAATGATTTATAGGCATGCGTCCTCTTTCTTCTCAAACATTCCAAAGAATCTTAACCTGGTATGTAGACGCTCTATATTTCTCCATGACTGGAAAAAATATGGAATTAAATAAGTATGGCACATTCATCCCAAGGATTTTATGTGGTAGTGGGTAATGAGAGACAGTTGTGAAATCATATAATGCTAGGGGTTAGAATTATAGATGGAGCAATATCAAGGCCTGTGGCTGAGGTTGCCTTCATGATGGGAGCTTGACAAGAAGCCTACCTAAATCTGTTTTTCTGGAGAGCAGAAAGAAAACTAATTTCTTGAGTCTTAAAGTGTATACAATTAGTAAGAAATAAAGCATCATAATGTTAAAGTGCTATTCAGTAAAACAGACACTGCCAATTCCATCTGTCTGGTTTTAGATCTATTCTGTGGTAGATGGAAACAGGTATCCCTTATGCAAAGGTGGCAATGGTTGTGAGAGTGAACCTATTTTTTTTTTTTTTAAGGATACATCTGTGGAATTTTGTTGTTTTTCTCATATWAATATTTTTGGAGCTGTGGAGAAGTCAGAGAAGGGAATTTTCTAATGGAAATTATTTTGTGATTTTCTTTTGGAAAGTTACTTTGGCACAAAAATTCCACATAGGATTTATTTGTGTCCTCTGTGACCTATCGAGACAAAAATAGTTATATTGACTTACGAATCTGCAGCTGGTATTTCAGTTACTATCACTGTCCAATACATCGTGGTCTATGACAAGTTCTCCACGAAGAAATATATCAATAGCAAACAGGCAGCAATAAGACTGGTGTTATTCCCTTCCTTCCCTCTTTCTGTTCTTTAATGCTTTTCAGTCTGTTGCAGAGGAAAAGTCTGTGTGTCTTTCAACTTTCTCATCTTTAGTTTTCCTTCTGAAGTCAGATTCTCTGTGAAATCTGGAAATATAAGAATCGTTTCATTATGAAAGAGGGGAGGAGAGTGTGACATCAGACAGTTTGTCTATGTGTCTTTTTGTGGAGAAGGATTTTTATGTGTTTGAATACTCTGTTGGTCATTGGAACAGGGAGGTTGTGTGGATCAGAATCTCTAAAAAGTAATGTAAAAAGTTAGGCTTCTGAATTTTGCCATTAAGTTATTTTATATGATTTGTCAGCAGAACTGTATCCCTAAAATGGCCCATAAAGGGTGTATATGGAAAATGTATATGTATATGGAAAATTTCTAATGATAAAAATTGTTTCAGTACTTGTTTTAATACACATTTGTGAGTTTATACTGAATTTATACTTCTGCAATATTTACCTTATCTGAGGCTAAGCCTCCCACTTGAGTTTGGTGTTGATAGATGTATTTTATCGTGGAATTTATTGTTAGTAATTTGTTTGGGTTCACAATCTCACTTAAGTCAATGGTTTCATCCTAAGTTTCTTGAGTCATGTGRTGAAGGACCTGATGGTTGACATCACTGAGCTCAGTAAAACTTGAATATTGAAACACTGGTTCTATTGAAAAACATCTGGAGTGGAACCAATAGTCCGATATATCCTGCTAGGCTAGTCAGCGTATCCAGCATCTTGTTCTTTCTCTTTTTTTTTTTTCTTTTTTTCTGCCTAGCAAAAACTTGGCAAAACTTAGAAAAATGTACAAACACAAGAGTGAAATGGATGCACTCCATGTTCCTAAAAATGTCATATCTTGGCTGTGTTAAACATGTATGCTTGCTTGGCTGTAGCAGTGACTAATTTTTATGTTGCTTTTTATCATGCTAATGCAAAACTTAAAGATTGAAAAACCTTACAAAGCCATCTGGTTCTTTCGTTGTTACCTATACACACTTTTTCCATACAGTGTATTTCTCGTGTTTTACTCAGTTGAGTGCCGAATAGCTGGAGTGATGAAGTTTCTACAATTTATTTTGAATCTCTTCAATAATGTAGGAAATGGCTTGATTAAAACTAACAAATAATATTATTAAATAAGAGGGTTTTTTTCCCCCTCTCCAAGTTCCAAGTTTTAAGAGAAAACACCAGCTCTAATTTTCTCTGTATATCAACATCCCATTAGGAAAAAAGGGTTCTTAAAGGATGTGACAATGTATTAAATTGCAGAGGAGCTCTGAAATCTAATCTCAGAATACTTGTCAAATCCTGAAGAAAGTTAATGATCTGGTGATGGTTATATTGTTTATTTGTAAAAACAAACAGTTGATTGTGATCCTTTTTTTTTTCTTTCTCCTTAAGAGYGAGAAGAAAATAGGAAAAAAAAGTTGTGCTTAATATGATGTTCAACGGAATTTCTAATTTTAGATTTGTAGCAAGTTAGAAGTGCTGTTTATTGTCACTACTTCTGAGAAGTAAAAATCTGCATTTAAAAATGCTTGATACAGCTTTGAGTTGCACAATTTGAATGCTGAATAGGGAAAGATGGTGACAGACTACTGTTTTGTCTTTTAAGTTGCTGTGTGGTACCTCGTAATCGGAAGACCTGGGATATTTACATCTCTTTACTGATTCACCAAATTTGACAGTTACTCAAAGTTCTGATTTGAAAACAAAAAGAAAAACAAAGCCTAATGCTTTTTATTTTTCTTTTTAAAGTTAAATTATTATATATATCTCTGCATATCTATCTCATATGATTATGTCTAAATACTTTTAAGAAGAATTTGTAGATAATTTTATACAGAAAGTGAAGATAATAGAGGTAAGGTACAGAAATTGCAGTTAAGACTTGGTACGACCAAAAATCATAGATTTAAGATTGGCCAAATACCTCTCTAGCCACATTTTTTAGGTAATGAATTGGTAGTATGATATTTTTTCTCTTCTGTTGTCCAGTGATAAATGAAGTCCTCTCAATCCAAAGAAGTGCCTAAGCCGTTACTCTTTTAGGTGTTTGGTAACTTAAGCTATTTTAGTGACAGTAGAGAGAGACGTTAACAGAACTTTAAAACTGTCAATGACAACTTTAAACGTTCTCCTAAGCTCTGCATAGTCTCTGGAACGGTTAACTGGATACTGGTGATCTGTCAGAGTAAGAATGAGTCCGGATTCATCAAGTGTCTCCGTTAGAGGAAAGGCTAGAAACAGACATCTTGACCTTGAAGCCAGATAGAGCTCATGTCTTTTCAGATCAGCCAGACAAACGTTTTTGTTCATCAGTAGCACTGGAGTCRTCCATATGCATGTGCACGTACACAGGATTACAGGC